TACCCAGGAGCTCTTGTCTTGGCTCAAACAGTGTATCACACCATTCACACAGGGCCACAGTATCTAGGAAGAGGCTGGTTCTTGCTGCATTCATAGAAAAGTCAGCTGAAGCAAATATTTGCTGGAAGTAAAGGAGATTCAGATTCACCCAGAAAAGGCATCAGTTCTAATAGCTCTGTATCTAAGTGCCTAATGCAGTACCTGGTGTATAAGAAGTACTCAGCAAGGCCAGGAACGGTGGTTCATGCCTGTAATTCCAGCACTTTGGGAGGCTGAGCCAGGTGGATTGCTTGAGCTCAGGATTTCGAGACCAGCCTGAGCAAAAGCGAGATCCCCCATCTCTAAAAATAGCCAGGTGTTGTGGCAGGTGGTTTATAGTCCCAGCTACTCAGGAAGCTGAGACAAGAGGATCACTTGAGCCCAAGACTTTGAGGGTGTTGTGAGGTTGCTGTGAGCTATGATGCCACGATACTCTATCAAGGGTGACAAAGTAAGACTCTGTCTCAAAAAACAAAACAAAACAAAAATATCCAATGAATGTTAATATTTGTTATTTGACCAAATGAAATAATGGAGTGTGTAAAAGTGTGATTTAGCTTCCACCATCCTCTCTATAATTCCTTTTTTCATATCCTCCGGAAAAAGCCTTGGGGCTGAATTTTCCAGGCTCTTTTTGTACTTGAAGTACCTGCCACATAAAATATCCAGACATCAAGGAGCAGGTAATGCTCTCTGTTTGAATTCCAAGCATTCAATTAATCTACAGACTCGTAGAGAATACAGCCATTTGAATATTAATATGCTTTGTTTCATCTGTTACTCATTTAATTTATTCGTTATCAATCTGCCTTATTCCTTCCTTTTCTCCAGTGCCCCTTCTCCACCCCTGGAATCTGTAGCAGCTTCAAATCTGTTGCTTTCGTGTTGTTGCTATGCATCAGAAATACTTTTGGCTGCAAGAAACAGATTTCTTGATTAATAGTGGTCTAAATCAGGGATTAGCAAACATGGCTCACTGGCCAAATCCTGCCCACTGCTTTTTTTTTTTTTGTAAATAAAGCTTTATTGGGACACAGCTATGACCATTTGTTTACATAGTGTGTCTATAGCAGCTTTCACACTATAAGGACAGGTCAGTTAGTGGCAACAGAGACCATGTAGCCTGCAAAATCTAAAATATTTACTATCTGGCACTTAAAAAAATCTGCTAACCTTAAGGAATAAAGAGATTTAATTATCTCAAGTAATAACAAGTTTGAGGGTAGGAGTTTCATGCTCACTCTGCTGCTCTTCAGCACTATTGAGGACTCAAACGCTACCTTTTCCCTCCATCATCCTTTGAATGTTGGCTTTTCTTCCTCACGCCTGTTAGCACATATTCACAAGGTGGTCCCCGTACTTCCATGGACACCTCTAGGGCCAGCAAGCCATCCTTGCATAGCTGCTCCTTCTCCAAGGAAGCAAAGACTTTCCAGAAACTCTCCAGTACCTTCCCCTTAGTCTTGGGCAGAACTAGGTTGCATGGCCTCTCCCGGAAATCTTGGAAAGCAAGGCTCTCTTGCTTATAAGTTCCATATTCACAGATTCAACCAACCTTGGAGGAAAATATTTAAAGAAAAAAAATACAAATTTTTTTTAAAAACAATATGGCACAACTATTTACATAGTATTTACATTATATTAGGTATTATAAATAATCTACAAATGATCTAAAGTGTATGAGAGGATGCGTGTTGGTCATAGGCAAATTCTATATCATTTTGCATAAGAGATTTGAGCATCCTTGGATTCTAACATCCACAGGGGTCCTAGAACCAATCCCCCACAGATAAGGAAGCGTGGCTGTATCTGGGGAAAAGTTTTTGTTAGCAAAAAATTGGGGATTCTGAGGTCAGGCGCAGAGGCTCATGCCTATAATCCTAGCACTCTGGGAGGCAGAGTTGGGTGGATTGCTTGAGCTCAGGAGTTTGAGACCAGGCTGAGCAAAATAAAAATCCCCATCTGTACTAAAAATAGAAAACTTAAAGCAAGAGGATCTTTGGAGCCCAAGAGTTGGAGGCTGCTGTGAGCTATGATGCCATAGCACTCCATGGCAACAGCTTGAGACTGTCTCAAAAAAATAAATAAATAAAATAAATTTTTTTTTTTTTTTTTTAGACAGAGCCTCAAGCTGTCCCCCTGGGTAGAGTGCCGTGGCACTACAGCTCACAGCAACCTCCAACTCCTGGGCTCAAGCGAGTCTCCTGCCTCAGCCTCCCAAGCAGCTGGGACCACAGGCGCCCGCCACAACGCCCGGCTATTTTTTTTGGTTGCAGCCGTCATTGTTGCTTGGCGGGTCCGGGCTGGGGATTCGAACCCGCCACCTTAGGTGTACGTGGCTGGCGCCTCAGCCGGTTGAGCTATAGGCGCCGAGCCATAAAATAAATTTTTTAAAAAACTGGGGATTCTATCAGCAAAAAGAAGTGAGAGGAAGAAGTGTTGTACAATTAACAGTCTCCCCACACTCTGGGCAAGGACAAGCAGAGAAGACCTAATATTTGTTGAGCATCTACTATGCACTGAGACCTCAGCTCATTTATTCTTCACAGTGAAGACACTAAATGAAATTACTCAGTGAAGTAATTAACTTGCCTAAAGACACATACCCGGGGGTGGGGCTAGATCTCAAGGACAGTTCCATCTTAAGCTAAAGCCTCTGTTCAGGTCCCTTCATTAGGTTCTCCTCACATCCCATGAGGATTACTGAGAGATTAGAAAGTGTTTTCATAGCAGGGAGGCAGGCGGGCAGGGAGCCCAGGAGGAGTGAGAGGAAGGACCCTCTCACCTACCCTAGGCTGGCATAGTAAGGCACATTTTGCTTACATCATTTACACCATCAAAAAGCTATAAATGGTAGGTATTATCAGTATTACAGGTGAGATTATCTAATTCAGGTGATTGAGAAGTGACAGGGCTCACTAGGTGTGGTGGCTCATGTTTGTAATCCTAACACTTTGGGAGGCCAAGGCCCAAGGATGATCGCTTGAGGCCAGGAATTCAAGAAGTGGCAGGGCTGGAATTAGAACTATTCATTCATTTAGTTATTCATCCCCCGCTCCCAATATGGGTCTGTTACTCTGTGCCAGGCACTGTGAAATCTGACTCAGGTTGCCTGGAAAATTCATTAACTTTCTACTCCCTCTTCCATGCTATCATCTGTATTTTGGAGAGAGGTTCAGAAAGTTTCTAGAGCTCCCCCAAGATCATAAAATCTCTACAAGACAGAGCAGGCCTTGAACCCAGACATTCTGGCCTGAATTCCAGAGCTTTCTCCCTAAGCTGTCTCCTTCCCAGGCTTCTGCTTGTGCTTTTGGACCCACTTGATATCCCTGTGCCCATTGTTCAGGCTCTGCAGACCTGAAAGACTGATGTGAAAAGACTATTCTTAAAGGCAGGAAGAGATTTGGTGCCTGTAGAATGGGTTTCAGGATGCTGGCGCCATTGAACCACTGAATTAACCAATCCTGGTACTCTCCTACCTTTGGTCTTTTTTGTTAATGTGAAATAATAAAACTTTCTTTCTCATTGTTCGAGCCTTATGAGTCAGGTTTTACTGCATTTTAACAAGTGTGAAAATGTTGGTATCTTACAGTTCTTACTGTCTGGACACTCACTGAGGCACCTGCTTCCAAACCATCTTTACTTCTTGCTTTGACATCAAGCGGTGCTGAGTTCTAGTCCATTGATGAGATGGAGGCTTTGTGACAATGTGGCTTTTGAAACCCTGGTTCTGACCCCACTGTTAGTTGGCTGAGCCTTTACCTTCTCTCTTTCCAGACTATATTATTCTCAGGGGGGAGCTGCTTAGTCAAGGGGTGGTAAATGGGATGTATCTTTCCTGCCAATTCTCACCGGGACACTGTGTGGATCTGTTTCCCAGAGCATCAAAGAGTACATGCTGTTTATTTCCATTCACAGAAGAAATTTGCCTGTGGTGTTAGATATCAGAATAGTGACTACCTGGTGGGTAGGAGGATGCTGGCTAGAAAGGGCATGAGAGAACTTTCTGGGCTGATAAAAATGTCCTGTACTTTGTTTTTTGTGGAGATTACAAAAATGTATACAAGTGTCCCTTTTTATCAAACTGAACATCTAAGTTCTGTACATGTTATTCAAATTATGTGTCAATCTCAAAAATATTTTAAAAGAGAAAATGGATTCTGAGATCACCATTAGTTCAGCAGTCAAGAATGCCATGACTAATTAGTGACACCTGCCAAAGATAAGGGAGGGCGAGAGATGTCAATACAAGTGCCACAAGTTTGCTATTCTTGCGCTTCAGCAATGGTCCTCGGAGAACATTTGTACTACTAGAATGGTTGTATTAACTCAGCCCACCCCATACGATTATAATAAAGTGAGAGTTCTTTGTCTAACGTAAACTAGCCCAGTGTGAGATGTTCTTATTTACCTTCATTCTCCACGATGTCTTGCACAGTGGGACTGACTTTGGCAGGTAGCTACCCAGAAAGTTCTCCTTGGCCGAAATGAAATGCATCAGGGCTAGATGGTTTCAAAATGCCAGGCTCCCCACGAACATGGGACATGGTTTGCCTGTCCCATTATTCATATTACAAACGCTGAATGCCAACCTGGATCTGTGAGCTGGCTTCCCCACTGCAGTACAGAGCCATTTTTGAAGGTCCTAAAATGATTTCCACAGGCTGAACCAGGTAATGTTTTCATGTGAAGCTTTTATCCTTTTCTAATCCTCTATCTCAGATGGGGTCTGGTATTTGTCATTTCTTTCTCTCCTTCCAACTGCAAATCTGCAGGGGCCTTTCAGAGCTTTGCTCTGTGGGCTCTTGGTTTATGTCTTAGTTGAGGCATCTGTTTTTGGTGCTTTCTGGCCCCTTCCGGGAGTCTCCTGGATTACTGATGAGGATTGCGCTAACCAGCCTGTATCACTGAAAGACTCAGGGCTCAGCAGCTGTGCTGTTTCCTGACTGGTGTCCCCACAGGGGGAGCAGGACAGAGCCTGGCAACCGTACCTCTACTTCCAAAGCCAGCTGGAGAGCCAGGCCCAACGGCAGATCCAGCCCGGGTATTCGGCCAAGAGATACCTCCGAGACCTGTTGCAGACGTGGCCCATTGACACCATATGCAGGCTTCAACGTGCAGGTCAGTGGGGAAGTGGGAGGCGAGGTGCACCCCAGCTGCCCTGCCTCGCATTTGGTGTGAGAGTGTGTTTTCCATCAAGGCCTGATGGGTTTCAGGTCCAATTTTCCATTAAAGTAAAGTCCCCAAGCTTGGTAGCCCATAAGTCTGTGTGGGTTTATGGGGCTTATGGTGTGCACCCTTTATCTTACCCACACGTGCAGAGGGAAGGACAGCCTGAAGTCTGGCCTTCACTCCCACCCCTCACGCTCAGCAGCCTCACTCTCCACACCTCAGAACTTTGTTCTCAACCTTCCTCACTTAGAGGCCTCAGAGATCCTCCAGTTCAACCTCCATCTTTTACATGGTAAAGGAATAAAGGACCAGAGAGGTGAAATAATTTGTCCAAGGTCATTCAGGCAAAAGCAGAGCTGGGACCAGAAGTCAGATCCTCCTGGCACCCCCAGCTCCATATTATCCCCAGCATTCTCCAATTCCCTATCTGAGGCGATTTCAGGCCCTCCAGGAAATAAAATGTTAAGCCTCCCCTTAAAGATGGCAGCTCTCCAACGCAGCCCACTTCGGAATGAGATGGACACCCTTCTGCTGTACAGAGACCCCAAATGCACTCTGCAAAGGCTTAAAAATGAAAATGGGAAATGGTTGAGGATTAGAGTTGCCAGAATTAGCATGCACACAGACACACACCCTGCCTGCCTCCCCCCCAAAACAGTTAAACTTACAACATTTGGGACATACCTCTACTGAAAAAGTATTAATTGTTTATCTGAAATTCAAACTTAACTGGACATCCTGTATTTAATTTGGCAAACCTACTGGGGACGAGAAGAGTGAGCAGAGGACTAGCCAGTGCCCATTGGCTATTTGCCATGTCTCCAGCCAACAGCAAACAGGCAGGACCAGAGGAAGACTAGCTATCCTCTTGCTTTATAGATTTATCCCGGAAAAGGAGAAAAATTAGCTCTTTTCCCAAAAGGCAGCAATTTCAAGCAAAATGAGAGTTGTGGGCTTGTCCAGGAATTGGTTTTATTTTCATGCAGTTCCACTTATTTATTTATTTATTTATTTATTTTATTTTTTGAGACAGAGCCTCAAGCTGTCCCCCTGGGTAGAGTGCTGTGGCATCACAGCTCACAGCAACCTCCAACTCCTGGGCTCAAGCGAGTCTTCTGTCTCTGCCTCCCAAGTAGCTGGGACCATAGGCACCCGCCACAACACCTGGCTATTTTTTTGGTTGCAGCCATCATTGTTGTTTGGCAGCCCCGGCTGGATTTGAACCCGCCACCGTAGGTGTATTGGCTGGCGCCTTAGCCACTTGAGCAACAGGGACTGAGCCAGTTCCACTTATTTAATACTCATGAGAGAGCCTCTTAACCAAAGACGTGTTTATCACTGGGTGGGAGGTGGGCAGAGCAGGCCACTGTCCTACAACTTAAGCTCAACATTTTCAAGAATGAAGGCTCCTCTTAACATCAAAAAATGCCTCCATCGTTCTGTGGGAGTCATATGGCTAAAATATGCAGTTTAAGTAAAGATATGTGCACATGTGCATTCTTGGGCCTCCTGCCATTATTCTTTGCCAAAGTCCTTCTTGAAGGTGAGGCCCTCAAGCTGGAGGTCTGATGGCCACTAGCCCCAAGGTCCCTGTCCCTGCTATCCTCTCCTCTCACATCTCAGAGCTTACCACCTTTGTGATGCTAGTACATTTTCTAGTCCCTTCTTTGCATCCCTATGATAAATCTTCAAACCCACATCTGCAAAGCCTTTCTTGCAACTCCAGTTAATGTTGAGCTCCTTGCTTATATCACACCAACACTCAGGGTGACACAGTAGAGCACAAGAGAGCTTTGTCTCTCCAATAGACTGTAAGTGCCTTTTAAAAGGGCCCATGTCTGATTCCTCTGTATCTACCCCACTGCCTAGAAGCATGGTGGGCCCACTGGTAAGCCCTCAACAAATAGTTGCAGAATGACTAGATTGAGAAGGCTGTTGATCATGGGGCCTACAGAAGCAAGCAGGATACACTACTATTGGATCTCTTATCCTGAGGCAGGAGGAGCTTTTTACCCAGCCTCAAGAAGGTAGCCATGTTACTTCCACCAGGGAGATCAGTTCTTGGGAATGATGGAGCAGAAGTAGCACACATGTGGCATGGGACCAGAAGCACCCAAGGCATGGCATAGAGAGCCTCCATGGGTTCTAGCTCATTTTTTAATCCTTCTCATCTCCTAATTGTCTTCCTTAATGGGCAATGTCCAAAACCAGGATGAGTATAAGCAAGGGACCACAAGAACTCTAGATTGACAACCACTGTTACTTCTATCGGTAACTCCTGACCTATTCTTCAGGATACATCAAAGATTCTGTGCCGCTCCAGGACAGTCGACTCAGTGTACCAAAGACTCTCAGGCCACAACAGGATCTTTCAGCCGTACCCCCAAAATATCATCTCCTGCCTGTCTTCCCTCCATTTTGGATTCAACAAGGAAAATCTTTTGAACAAGGTATATGATGATTTTATGATCAGTTCTCAAATATTAGTCTTCAAACACTTTAAAATGGAGTTTCCCAAAATAAGGTCTAGGGATTCTGGGTGTTGCATAATCCTCATCTGTAAAATGAAGGAATTAGTCTAAACCAGCACTATCCAATAATACTTTAGGCAATGATGAAATGTTTCATATGTGCTGTCCAATATAGTAACTATTAGCCACACGTAGCTACTGAGCTCTTGAAATGTAGCTACTGCAACTGTGAAACAGATTTTTATTTTGCTTCATTTTAATTAATTTATATCTAAATATCCACATGCAACTAGTGGCTATTGATTTGGACAGTGTAATCCTAGACTCTAGATCTTAGATGATTTCTTAGGTATGTTCTGCTCTAATATTATTTAATCCTGTGTTTTTTGTGGCAATGTACTATAAAAAAAGAAAGCCTTGGAGCCATCAATCTGTGTTACAATGGCTGTTCTCTCAGTTACTAGTTGTAATATCTTGAGCAAGTCACTTAACCTTGTTGAGCTTCTGTTTGCTCTTCTCTGTAATGGCCACATTAAGTCCTTATTACCACTCAGACTATTGTTGTGACCTGTCTGTAAGCTATCCAGTTTTAGGGGGATTTTATCTGTCAATATTATTCTCAGGAATTAGAAGCATTCAAAGAGCCAGCAATTGTCTTTGGTAATGGAGATGGGAAAAGATGGGTAGGCAGCAGTAATAGGCAAAGACCATGGCCTTGGCTGGTAGTAGAGCTCATGCAAAAAGGCAAGAACAAGAGCCCAACATAATACAAAATTTTTTGTGAACTAAAAAAGTAAATTTTCAAGCAGGGCATGGTGGCTCATGCCTTTAATCCTCGCACTGTGGGAGGCCAAGGCAGGAGGATCACTTAAGCTCAGGAGTTTGAAACCAGCCTAAGCAAAGTGAGACCCACCCCCCCCATCTCTACTAAAAATAGAAAAATTAGCCAGGCATGGTGGCACATGCCTGTAGTCCCAGCTATTAGGGAGGCTGAGGCAAGAGGGTAGCTTGAGCCCAAGAGTTTGAGGTTTCTGTGAGCTAGGCTGAAGCCATGGCACCCTTCCCCAGGTGACAGAGCAAGACTCCATCTCCAAAAAAAAAAAAAAAAAAAAGGGAAATTTTCAGAAACAATGGCAATGCCTGACCAAGCCCTATCCTTGAGGAAATGATCTGGTCAGGATAAGTAGAGAACCTGGCCTACTGAATGAGTAGAGAACATGGTGGGCGTTCAGAACCTGAGGCTATTCCAACCACACACCTCTCTAAGTGTTGTCTCTGGCACCAGAGAATTCTGATCATAACCTGATCCACACATGTAGTTCATATGCAGGTCAGGTAATTATACTTCTCTTTGTAAATTAAAACCCCAGTTTGTACATCAATCTCTATGCACTTTGTTAATGCGGGTCAACATCCTGAGACCAGTTGACTCTGGGGCACTGAAGAGATTGACTTCTAAGCCACCCAAGTCCTGGGAAGTGGTAAACTCTTCCAGGTAATACCGCTCTATGGGGGCTCATTGCCCTTCTCAGGGTGGTTACACTATCTCATCATTGCCTACTCCCTTTCTCTTCAAAAATCCTGCTGTCTCCAGTTAAAACCATACACTTTGATGACCTAGGCTCTCAAAATATTGGGCAGAGGATTGGATTGCTTCCATTTTATAGGGGGATTAACGCTGCACACCTGAGGGGTAAAGTGACTTCCTTGACTTGATGCCATATACAGAGGAGCTGCAAAAGTCAGGCAGAAAACAGAGAGGCTGTATAGAATACTGATTAAACAGTGGCCATTGCCCCCGATTCAAGCCATGTGGCTGCTCTAGGCCTCAGTCCTTCATGAGGATGGCCATACCCACCTTTACCTCACACAACTGAAAGTGGGAATGAAATGGGGTTATGCAGTAGCTGGCATGGCACATAAGAAAGTGCTCAACAAACAGTAATTGTACACCTTCCTTGCTTGTGTTTTTAAGTATAACTGCTACCTAATTGCAATGCCCAATTGCTCATGATCACAGAGGCCAAAAAAATCAATTTTAAAAGGAACAAAAAGCTCAGAGGCTGGAACCTGAACCCTGACTGATGTTTTCATTGGTTTTAACTTTCTCTCCCATTAGCCTCCCTCTCTTTGCCAGATACTTCATATGGAGAAGCAGCCAAAGTTCTGGCTGCAAATCCCAGATCCCAACAATGTGATGGTGGCCAAGTCATTTGTGCTTCCTGCATCCTCAGTTTGCTCACATGTGAAATGCAAATAATGATATCTGTGTTCCTTCCTCCTGGGTGGTTGTGCAAAATCATAGAAGAGGACAGAGGTAGAAAATGTCATAAAAGCTCTAAATTGCTACCCCAATGCACATTATGTGAGTTCTCTGAATCAATATTTGAGATACAGAAAGATTAAAGTTTGTGGTTGTCTTTCAACAATTGAAATTTCTTTTACTTTGCTTGCTAATCTGTTTCTATTGAGCATAGACAAATGCCTCAGAAGATGATGTTTACTGAGGAAAAAATCCTTGTTTCTTCACACATCAACTGAGTCACATATTCAGACTCAACTAGGATATAACAAAAGGGAAGATTGTCTCTCATATCCCCCTATGCACAATGCCTCAACTCAGACACTCTGATGTAGAAGACCGTTGGGTAGATGAGTAGTCGTTGGCTAGAGTTTCCCTTCCTCCACCCTCAGAAAAGCATTCAGTTCCAGGAAAATCTGGAATGATGGACCTGGGGTCTAATTTGACACCAAAGGATCATTCTAGAATACTCTAAAAGGTCTTTGATGCCACATTCTGTATGTGAAGTTAAGATCCTCTTGGGAGCAGGCCTAATGTAGCCCTGGGCTGCCTCAGATGGAGGGATTCCAAGGCCCATCCGGGCCACTAAAACCTGAGCAGACCCTCTGAATCGGAGGTTGAGCCTCTTCCACCAACACTCCAGCATCAGTTCAAACCCAGACAGCCTTCAGGAGCCAACGGGTGGAGAAAGGGGCGCTGGAAGGAGGGAGTAGCCCTATACACGGGCATTCACTCTTGATTCAATGACACTAAGGACAGAAATGACAAAGGGAGGTGAGGGCTGGCGAGCACAGAGGGAAGGTGAGGCTGGCTGGGGGAGAAGGAGCAGCACCCAGAAGGCCAGCGCTCCACAACACCTGGGGCCCTGCAGGCTCCGGAGCCCCTGGTTGAAAGACAACCCTACATTGTTCCACCGAGCTGTATGCTGGGAATGGAGGTATTGCTAAAGCTTGGCTCCACACAAGGAAGGCTTGCCAGACTGTTTCAGCAATAAATCTACCTTAAGTGATGAAAATAGCTGCAGGACCCTTTAAACCATTGATGAAAGATTTGTTAACTATGTTGGAGTCATCCGTTGACTCAGATCCTTCCTGAGTGTTGCAGACAGGGCAAGTTCAGAAAGCTAAGCAGCAGAACCCCTCACTGCATTCAGCAGAGGTTTTTCCACAAGTAAAAGCCCAGAGACAGCTTAGGAAACCCAAGAGCTTGCTACAGACAGAGCATCTCAATGACAACAGAGCAGGACTGCAAACCACACCACTGCCATCTGCTAATCTCTTGCAGTTTACAAAGAGCTGTTGCAGCATTCATTATTTTATTTGAACCCAGACAACTCTGGTTGAAAGTAAGGGCAAGAAATCAGTACGCCTATTTTATAGATAAGGGAATCATGTCTAAAAATGAAGACTCAACCCTGGCTGAGTCTCCTGACTTGAACTGCAGCTCTGTTTCCACCTACCTAGCTGCCACTCTGGGGAGACACTGTCAGAAACCCAGAAAATGCAGGAGGAACAAGGCCTTGAACACTTTTGCTCAGAGAAGCAACAAGGGAGGCAGCAATGGTACCACACATATTTCTGGGATTATAGGCTGACCCACTGTTCGCCTTTGCAGGTCAACAGGGCTCGGATGAAGGGCAAGCTGGGACTGGTGGACACGTGGACCACAGCTGTGTAGCCCAGAACCTCAGCAGCCGGAGGCCACTCAGGAAGCAGCCCTGGCAGGAAGACAACACCTGGGTAGAGGTACCATTTCTAATGTGCTCCCCGGCATTGTTTTCTCTTGACTTCAGAGAAAATTCCCCCTTCTTTAGTGCTATTTCTTGGGGACCTCCAGAGAAAATACATTGACCCTTTTGACTACTGTTTTCCAAAGTACCACCTGTGGAAACCTAGCACTGAAAGATGCTTCATTAAAAAAAAAAAAAAAGAGGGTGACACCTGTGGCTCAGTGGGTAGGGCGCCGGCCCCATATACCGAGAGTGACGGGTTCAAACCCAGCCCCAGCCAAATTGCAACAAAAAAATAGCCGGGCGTGGTAGCAGGTGCCTGTAGTCCCAGCTACTCGGGAGGCTGAGGCAAGAGAATAGCCTAAGCCCAAGAGCTGAAGTTTGCTGTGAGCTGTGACACCACAGCACCCTACCAAGGGCGACAAAGTGAGACTCTGTCTCAAAAAAAAAAAAAAAGATTTTGTAGCGAAATACATATGGGGAATGTTGCATAACATATTCTCCTCCCAGGAATTCACAGTGCACATTTGGATACAGAGCACTTCCAGGAGTTCTGTAATAAAGTCACTAGCTCAACCCTGTTTAACTCTGGATTTTCCAAACATATCTAACCATAGATCCTCTCTTGACTCTTCACTAATTTAGAAAAAAGGGGTTTTGGCCTTAGACATGGAAAGCCTTGGTACGAGTCCTGCTTCTTACTAGTTGTGATGAGTCTGTCCAAGAAATGTAACTAACTTGAGTCTGAATTACGTCTTCTATAAAACAGAGCCATTATCATACTTCCCAAGGTAACTAAGAATTAAACAAGTTAAAATTAAACACTTTCTAAATTCCAAGGCGTGTGTGTGTGTGTGTGTGTACAAGGTAATAGTTGCTCAGAGCAACATAGACCACATCTGCTCCCATCTTGAATAAATTCATTTGACTTACAAGAAGGTCAAATGGGCTCAGCGCCCATAGCTCAGTGGTTAGGGCACCAGCCACATACACCAAGACTGGCAGGTTCGAACCTCCACATACACCAAGACTGGCAGGTTCGAACCTGGCCCAGATCTGCTAAACAACAAGACAACTACAACAACAACAAAAATAGCTGGGCATTGTGACGGGCACCTGTAGTCCCAGCTACTTAGGAGGTTGAGGCAAAGAGAATCACTTACACCCAAGAGTTTGAAGTTGCTATGAGCTGTGATGCCAGGGCAACATAGTGAGACTCTGTCTCAAAAAATGAAGGTCATATGCCAGCCAGGTGTGGTGGCTCAGCCCTATAATCCTAGCACTGTGGGAGGCCTAGGCAGGTGAATTGCTTAAGCTCAAGAGTTCGAGACCAGCCTGAGCAAGAGTGAGACCCTGTTTCTACTAAAAGTAGAAAACTAGCCAGGCATTGTGGCAGGTGTCTATAGTCCCAACTGAGGCAAGAGGATCGTTGAGCCCAGGAGTTTGAAGTTGCTGTGAGCTATGATGCCATCACATTCTACCCAGGCTGACAGAGTGAGATTCTGTTCAATTAAAAAAGAAGAAGAAGAAGACAGTCATATGCCAAGCAGACAGGAAAGGGGTAGGTAAAAGAGCCACACAGTGAAAGGAGAGAGGAGAGAGACATTTCATGATGGATAAAGACAACAGTACTAGGGCTTCATTTTAATTTTTAACTTTTGTTTTTTGCAAGAAAGCATTATATGTCAGGCATGGTTACCTGTCATTTTTTTCTATCAATAATAAAATGTTTTATTGTAATAAACAGAATTAGCAATCTTGCCATTCTAACCTTACCTTTCTTCCCAGCCTGCAAAAGAAATGCCATCCTTGGAACCACAAGTCTAGCCACAGGGGCTAATTGCTAAAGGAACCTGTGGTGCTCCTTTATGACAGCCCGCTTACAGGAATGTGTGTCTGTCGTTCCCTAGGACACGTCAACAGAGAATCAGCTTCATGTCTATGCTTCAAAGGCAAGCCACAATGAAAAGACACAGAAAACCTCCAGGAAGGCCTTTAGGCGTGCCCACATTGATCCTTCTTGGCTCCTGAGTGACAAATCTCATGTTACATTCTATGGCAGTGGCTTCCCTAATAGGAAGGCAGATCTTAGTGGTAAGAACTCAAATGTTTTGCTGATTGATCTGGGCAAACTCAGTCACACAGAGTTCAATTGAGAACACTGAGACATATCTAATGGCACTTCCTTGTCACTCACCTTAGAAAATAACAGCCAGAGCCCCACTGGATGTGGGAATGAGACACTGACGACTCCTCTTTGCCTATTATTTCTGAAATCATACTGCCTGGGATCAAATCATCTCCCACTTACTAAACCGTGATCTTGGGCAAATTATTTAATCTTGCTAAGGCTCAGTTTCCTCATCTGTAGAATGGGACTAATATAATAATGCCCCCGTAAGGCTCTTGTGGGGATTCAGTAAATTAATGTACATAAAATACTTCACTTGACTCTTTTCCTGTATTTAGTACTCAATACATATTAATGTATAGTAATTATACATGGTAACGGTATCATCACATTCTCTCCATCACTTGATAGCAAGAACCCAACCTGGATACTGAGACAGACTGTAGCTTCCTGAACCTGCTCAGACAAAGCCATGCACCTCTCTCAGCACCTCAGCACTCTCCCTGTCTTCCTGTTAACCAAAAAGTGATAGAAGGGTGGCGCCTGTGGCTCAAAGGAGTAGGGCATCGGCCCCATATGCTGGAGGTGGTGGGTTCAAACCCAGCCCCAGCCAAAAACTGTAAAAAAAAAAAAAAGTGATAGAAGTTGAAAGTCAACTGGGCATCTCCATACCTGCAACTAATAAATTCTCATTCCTATCCCGTTTCTACAGATCAACAAGGGACTATAAAACTCCACAAGGCCAGAAGTGGACACTTGCCACAGGAACCTCCTGCTGAAAGATGCCTTTTCCCTCCTGTAGTATCTGCTAGAGTCTCAAAGAAAAATGCCCCTGGGGAAGTGAACAAGAAAAAGGTGTGTGCGTGTACGCGTGCGCAGGCGCGCGCGCACTCACGTGATTAATGCCAATCTAGAAATGAGGTAACGCAAAGGGATATCTCAACAGAGAACTGGCCTCTCTAGCTTCTGAGCTCACCAGATGGAGCTGGATTAGAGCTGCAGTATTTTACTAAATGTTGAAAATTGTCAAGTATAAGGAATTTCAGCTGCCCCAATTCTACCTTAAAACATATGTTATCACTCTCCACTGAGGATCTAGCACCTTTAAAAATGTAAGGTAAATGGTGGTGCCTGTAGTTCAAGCGGCTAAGGCGCCAGCCACATACATCAGAGCTGGCGGGTTCCAATCCAGCCAGGACCTGCCAAATAATGACAACTACAACCAAAAAATAGCCGAACATTGTGGGGGATGCCTGTAGTCCCAGCTACTTGGGAGGCTAAGGCAAGAGAATCATTTAAGCTCAGGAGTTTGAGGTTGCTGTGAGCTGTGATGCCACAGCACTCTACCCAGGGTGATAGCTTGAGGCTCCGTCTCAAAAAGAAAAGAAAATGTAAGGTAAATTTTGCAAGTTTATCAGTTCCCTTCAGAAGTCAAGTATACCTTCTTCTTTAGAGATGTCCTTGGCTATCTATGGCTTGGTCCTGTCTTGCAATTCTATATGGACGTTCAGTGAACTGAAGGCATCAGTGATGAACAGGAGCAAAAAGGGGCTCCAGAATGTTCTGTCCTGTAGCCACGTTGTGAACGTGAGCAGGTCACTCACACCCTCTGAGCCACAGTGACCTGATCTGTGTGCACAGACAGTAATGTCAACTTCCCAGGGCTGATGGAAAGATAAGACAAGATGATGGACTTTTAGGAAAGCATGTTGTGTCCAGCTGGGATTACAACATTGTTGATTACTTGTTAGGATTTGCGTTGTCCCAAGCGGCCACGAAGGATCCATGGGCACTCCAAGGTGTTCCTGGTGCCAGTTTGTGTTTAGTCAATTCAAAAGATTCTCTCCTGATTTTCAGATTTCCTGTGCCTGAGTTGATCTAAGCCTTTCCATCCACACCAGAAGGGCCTCAGTCTTCCCAGGTTCCTTTGGACCAAGAGTAAGCAGCAGGCCTGGCTGGCCAGACACACCATAGGCCCTGGGTCTCACACCTGGGTCAGCCCAGAACTCAGCCAGCGTCAGAGGAAAGGAGTCCCTTCCCTCCCTCATGGTTTAACAGAGGAGAGGAAAGCAACACTTTTCACTACATTAAAACTCTGTATAAATTTTTATTTAGAGTAAAGAAACTAAATCTTGGCTTCTCAGCCATACCTCACACAAATCGTTCTGAGTTTCCACATCGATTTCTCAATGCAAACCTTGTCAACCAAAATGCACAAGGTCAGTATTCAAAAGAGGATAGTTGGTGGGCAGCCGGCACCTGGACAGTGAAGGGCTCTGAGAACATAAAGATCCCATCTGCGTGTGTTCGTTTAATCATTTTCTTAATATCTCAAAATTATAAATGTCACCCTGCATATATGTGGTTGAATTTCCTTCAGTCAACTCTAAATATATAGGATGCTTATGTACGTTTCTGATTTTTTTTTTCTTTTTGAGCACTAAAAGAGACAGCAGAAGGGCTTCTGTCTTCCCAGCTTCCTTTGGACCAGGAGCAAACAGCAGGCCTAGCATTTTTATTTTTCCTCCTGTGAAACTGAACTCTCTGAAACCCAGCACACATATATATTTCATAGAGCCAAGTTCATATGTTAAGAACTTTTATCGGCTCGGCGCCTGTGGCTCAAGCGGCTGAGGCGCCAGCCACATACACCTGAGGTGGCAGGTTTGAATCCCCAGCCCCGGCCCGCCAAACAACAATGATGGCTGCAACCAAAAAATAGCCAGGCCTTGTGGCGGGCGCCTGTGGTCCCAGCTACTTGGAGGCTGAGGCAGGAGACTTGCTTGAGCCCAGGAGTTGGAGGTTGCTGTGAGCTGTAAAGCCACGGCACTCTACCCAGGGGGATAGCTTGAGGCTCTGTCTCAAAAAAAAAAAAAAAAGAACTTTTATCATTCAAAGGAGAAATTTTCAGCAACTTCTGAATAATTGGAATCAGGAGGATCTGACTACTACCCCCACTACTAACCCCAGTGTATTGCTCGTATATATAGTACATACATACTTTTTTGAACAGAAAAAAACTAGACCAAATGAGTTGCTGATTCTGACCCACAATGATTTTTTTCAGTTATATTCATATTGCAGAACTTTGATTTTCTGCTAATAGGTAGACACATTCTAATGAAAGGAGAGTCCACTTTCAAAGAAATAACTTAGACCTCATTCTAGTTTCAAACACTATTGTAATTACATATCAGCTCACAACAACCTTATAAGGTAGAGAGTATTACTCCTATTTTAGGAAGGAGGAAATGGAGTCTTAGGGAGGTTAGTTAAGGTGAACAAACACAAATGCATATTCCTATTTTCTTCCCCTTCTTACCTGAAAGCTTGCAGTCAGATGTTGTGCACCTTGCTTTTTTCCTATAATGGGATATGACAAGATTTCTCCCTATAGGTACGTAGAGATCTGTTATGCCATTTCAACCCTGCTCAGGTTCCCCAGCTGCAAGAAAAAAAAAGACTATGCATTCTCTCTAAGGCTCTTAAATGTGTTATGTTTATAATTCTCAGAGGAATCAGACAGGACAAACAGGGGCAGGTGCTGAGCTTCCAAGAGACCAAACAGCATCACTGAAGTTACATACCCGGCTCCCAGTTGGGTTAGCTTTACTTCCCTCAGCAGCTCCCGATGCAAGAGATACATACAATAAGATTCAGTATCATTTGCTCCCTGCAGGCTGCAGGGCTTGGATGCCTGCCATGTTGGTTATGTTTTTAAATTTTCTGCAGGCACCAAAGGCTTTGAAATTACCTTCTATCTCAGAAGAACCACCCAGAGTCCTGAAGCCCCCGAGGAGCCAATTTAAAGCAAATGAGCCCCCAACAGAGCTCTTCATCTTCCCAGTGGAGATTCATTTCCACACCCAACACCTCTCAAAAGAAAAAGTCTGCAGAAGAGGTAGGTCCCGTGGGCATGAAGGACTGGGATGTGGGGTTCTGCCAATCTAGTATACTCCTACATCATGGCTGACCTTCCCCACAGCTATCCCCTTCAGAGAATTTTTTTTAAGAAGGAAAAGGGGTAAAATCCAGAAATAGGTCTCTTCTGTTTATATTCAATTTAATTTTTAAAATATTCATTAAGCCATCATTGGGCAGAGCATTTTGTTAAACAGTAAAAGAAAAAGGAAGACAGGCATACACATAAGTTAGTCCAAATGCACCATACGTGTTATAAAAGTACAAGAATTTCCAGGCATCTTATGAATTAAGAAATAATATCAAGCAACACAACTAAAATTGAAATTGAAAAAACTGATTAAAAGGAATATAAATAGATATTATCAGACATCTGGGATAAATTTATTGCTCTAGGTAAGCACAGGATTTGGCTGAGTTTCCTGGCAGCCAAGGTAAAAAGGGTACTTTGATCTTTGCATCTTTATTTTATAAAAAAAGATAAAAGTTTGTCCAAAGAGTCTTTTTCTGATTTTGAATTAGGTTATGATGTAACAGATGACTGCTACAATCTTTGTCCAGGCAGAGATTTTGTGCTTCTAAGCAAAGTTCTAAAAGAATATGGAAAAGGGAGAAATCATCTCAGACTGGGGATGTAGGAAAGCTTTTTGGAAGATGCTTCTGAGTGACCTCTAACACTGTGTCACAAAGAGAAATTCTTTCTGACCTTCCTAAGTCATTTTATAGTACCATTGTCTAAGACACATTCTTGCTCCTGGGACTTCTCTGGAATACCTGAGGCAAGAGTGACTCCAATTTTGGGAGAATCCTAATTCTGAGTTTCTAGAAACTTGAGCAGAAACTGCGAATGGTTTCTTAGAGAGTTTTGACTTCTGAAAATCATATAGGCAGCCATTTGTTTTAAAGCTGTTTAGAATTCCCACTATGTAGAAGACTGCCTAATTATTGCTCTTAAAAGATCGATGAAAGCAGGCATACGGGAACTATTTGTGGTGATGAAAATGTTCTAAATCTCGGTTGGTTGTATGGATTATACATTTGTCAAAACTCATTGACTTGTACACTTAAGATCTGTGCATTTCCTTCTCTCCGGACACTGCCGACCTGGTGTTCAGGCACTTTGTGGAAGTTGGCGAGTGGCCTACATCTCCTTTAGGCCTCATGCCGGAAAGCTTGTAGTGATTGTAGATGTTATTGATCCAAACAGGGCTTTGGTTGATGGACCCTGCACTCAGGTAAGAAGACAGGCCATGCCTTTCAAATGCATGCAACTCACTGACTTCATCCTCAAGTTCCCACATGGGGCCCCCCAGAAGTATGTCCGACAAGCCTGGCAGAAGGCAGATACAAATACAAAATGGGCAGCCACAAGATGGGCCAAGAAAATGGAAGCCAGAGAAAGGAAAGCTCAGATGGCAGATTTTGATTGTTTTAAAGTTATGAAGGCAAAGAAAATGAGGAACAGAATAATCAAGAATGAAGTTAAGGGCTCGGCGCCTGTGGCTCAGGCGGCTAAGGCACCAGCCACATACACCTAGGGTGGCAGGTTCGAATCCCCAGCCCGAGCCCGCCAAACAACAATGATGGCCGCAACCAAAAAATGGTCGGGTGTTGTGGCGGGCGCCTATAGTCCCAGCTACTTGGGAGGCTGAGGCAGGAGACTCGCTTGAGCCCAGGAGTTGGAGGTTGCTGTGAGCTGT